ACCCCTTGTTTTGTGGGGCTTACAATAAGTCCCTGTAATGTTAATGTTTCTGATGTATAAGGAAAAGAGTATCCCCAGATGTTTATTTTATAGAGTTCATTTTGATAGCTGTGTTCTAAATTCATGATGGGTTTAATGTATAAAATGTGATTTATAGCTCAAGTAGGCAAATGTAGAGGGCTCTAGCAGAAGAAAGTTGCAAGCGAGGATTAGAAACAGAACAATAACTGCTTGGGATGTTAGTGAACTTACGCACAGTTTAGTCTACGCTGCGAATAAGCACTTCTGTGATGTAGGTTGAGAAAAAGAAAATGATTAAATGAACCCTTAAAACTATGCATGCCTGGAACTTCTTTCATTTTAGCATGCAACATTCTTATATGAGGAGTCAGCAAAAGAATAGACTAGAAATTCTCACGATGGCGCCGACGCTGATGGCTGCCTCCGTGGCGTGCTCCGCAGTTGTTTTTATGTTTTTGTTAGTTTGTCCTGTCTTTAGTCATATCCCTGCAATCAGTTTCACCAGAGACGAATTGCTGGACATTCAGAAGTACACACCACCCGATATTTCACCGGTTTTCAACTATTCTGATGTTTTGCTGGACATTGTAGTCGGGGGAGCTGCGGCGCTGATCAAGCGCAGACGGGGGAAGTGAGCCAGCGCCCTCGTCAAACTCAGGCAGCGCGGATTCAGAACGCCGTTGCCTAGCACCCATCTGGCGAACCTCCATTGTTAAAAAGGCCCAGCAGAGTTTGTACTTCCTTTGCCAGCTGAGGAAGATCAACCTGTCACAGCTTGATGAGAGCTGCGGAAACAGTTCTACTCCGCCATCATTGAATCTGTCCTCTGCACTTCTATAACGGTCTGGTTCAGCTCAGCTACGTGTAATAGTCTAGAAAGATTACTAATACAATACAACCAACCTTAAAAATGGCTATAACATGCAAGTTGCCTCTAAATAGCATTTTAATACAAATAAACCACTAATAAAACTGGGCCTTTTTTATAGAAGCAGTCAAAGTGCCTGAAATTCAGTGCCCACTGACTCCTGCCTATGGTGGAAACAGTAAAATCAGCATTATGGAGGAGATATTTATATATCTGTGGTTTGGTATATTAAAGGGGGCAGTCATGGCCTAATGTTTAGAGCAGGGGTGCCCAACCCTGCTCCTGGCGATCAACTGTCCTGCAAAGTTTAGCTCCAACTCTAATCAAACACACCTGCCTTTAATTTTTCAGTGATCCTGAAGACCTTAATTAGTTGCTTCAGGTGTATTTGATTAGGGTTGGAGCTGAACTTTGAGTCCAAGTGCCTGAAATTCAGTGCCCACTGACTCCTGCCTATGGTGGAAACAGTAAAATCAGCATTATAGAGGAGATATTTATATATCTGTGGTTTGGTATATTAAAGGGGGCAGTCATGGCCTAATGTTTAGAGCAGGGGTGCCCAACCCTGCTCCTGGCGATCAACTGTCCTGCAAAGTTTAGCTCCAACTCTAATCAAACACACCTGCCTTTAATTTTTCAGTGATCCTGAAGACCTTAATTAGTTGCTTCAGGTGTGTTTGATTAGGGTTGGAGCTGAACTTTGCAGGACAGTCGATCACCAGGAGCAGGGTTGGGCACCCCTGGTTTAGAGGGTCAGACTTGTAATCTGAAGGTTGTGGGTTCGAGACTCAGCACAGGAATTGTAGGTGGGGGAGTGAATGAACTGCTCTCTTTCCACCTTTCCCCAGGCACTGCAGCCAATACAACAATAAGACTGAAATTCAGTCTGCAAGCACCATTAAAAACATTTAATTGTACTAAATTTCATGTGACACTTATGCATGTATTGTACAGAATGGCATCGCTCGGACTGCTGAGCGAATCATTGGTACAACCCTCCCTTTTTTTCCAAGAACTGTACTCATCCAGAGTGAGCAAAATGGCTGGCAAAATCACTCTGGACCCCTCACATCCAGCACACTCCCTCTTTGAACTGCCATCTGGTCGACGCTACAGAGCTCTGAGCACCAGAACAGCCAGACACAGGAACGGTTTCTTCCCTCAGGCAATCCATCTCATGAACACTTGACAATAACTGTGGAACACACACTATTTATTCACTCATACACTTATCTAACACACATACTCCGTCTACATTTCAATTTGTACATAATATACCTGTACATACAACTGTCTATTGTTATATACTTGTACATACAATTGTCGATTTGTATATTTTTATTCCTCATTTACTTGTTCTATTATCTGTGTTTTTTTTGTTCGGTCACTGTCGCACTGTGGAAGCTTCTGTCACAAAAACAAATTCCTCGTATGTGTAAACATACCTGGCAATAAAGCTCATTCTGATTAGTAAACAACTGTAAACTTAAAGGAATAGTTCACCCAAAAATGAAAATGCCCCCAGGGCATCCAATATGTAGGTGACTTTGTTTCTTCAGTAGAACACAAACGGAGATTTTTAACTCGAACCGTTGCAGTCTGTCAGTCCTAGAATGTCAGTGGATGGGAATCACGGCTTTGAGAGTCATAAAACATACACAAACAATACCAAATTAATCCCTGCGGCTCATGACTATACATTGATGTGTAAAGACACAAAACGATCGGTCTGTGCAAGAAACTGAACAGTATTTGTTTTTTTACCTCTGATTTTCACCGCAATGTCTGAACTGTCCTGAGTGCCTTTGCGTGTACGTTTTATGACTCAAAACCGTGATTGCCATCAACTGACATTATAGGACTGACAGACTGCAACGGTTCGAGTTAAAAATCTCAGTTTGTGTTCTACTGAAGAAACAGTCTCCTACATCTTGGATGCCCTGGGGGTAAGCAGATAAACATAACATTTTCATTTTTGGGTGAACTATCCCTTTAACAACTACTGGGTACAGCAAATACGTTTTACTCGCCTACCAACAAAAGGTAGATAAACTAATTCTGACTTACAGCAAACCTACTTGTAAATGCAATGATTAGCATGAATCATTGCAATGTAATCAAGGACAATTAAGGCATACAAGTAAGGAGGAAACAATTGTATTTATCTTTGTCAACAAAAGGCACGTGAAAAATGCTGATCTATTTTCTAGGTTTACTAGTTAAACATCATCTAAAGAAACTCCATGTCTTAATGCCATTTCCATTAAACTCAAGTGTTTTCACATGAGCTGCAGGAAATGTAATAAAGCGAGTGCATGCACTTATTGTTGAAAAATAAACAGTGTGATGTGTCAGTCATAAAAGAGCTTCATAGTAAAACTCAAATCCCTCACTTGGAATTATAGGCTGTTTCTGGCCTGTCATTCACTGCATAACTTTGACAGTCATTTCTTCTGTAGCTTCACCTGGCTCTTAAAAAAACTGATTAGATATTGGGGCTCTGTGAATGTTTCTTTGTGAAACAGAAGGGACTCCAAATACTCTGACTCTTTGGTCGCACTTTATTTTAAGTTCCAATTCTCACTATGACTTTTGCCTCAAACTCCTAATTTGCTGCTTATTTATAGTTAGTAAGGTAGTTTGGGTATGGGGTGGGATTCAGGGATCTAAAATCATGCATCAATAAGCTTTATAAGTACTAATAAACAGCCAATGTACTAGTACTATGCATGCTAGTTAATAGTGAAAATTGGTCCTTAATCTTACCTTAAATGGTTTCTTTTTTTTTTTCCAGTGGCAAAATCAAGCTTCCATATATTTGTGCACTGACTAGATTCACAAAACAAATGTTTATGTTATCAGTGTATAGGTTTACTAATCACTTTGTTCTGTTTGTCTATTAATAGCCCAACCAAGTTATATTGTCTCTTCTGTTTTACCTTGCACGATATTAATAGCAATCAATAGTCGACTTGTCAGCATTGCCGAACTTTTGTACTAACTGTTTTCAACAAGTCAAAACAACAGCGGAACTTAAGCTACTTACCTGATCATGATACATATGTCTTCCTTCATTCATTTCTTTGTGTCATGATGTACCTACTGTGTAGGAACAAGGCATGCGGAGACGACAGAGAATATCACAGTGAACAATATTTATTAGACCAAATAACGACTCACATGCAGGAACACACACCTTGCACAGGGGATTAAAGTTAGACACCGGACAAAGGAACCAAGGCACAGAGCACTCTTTAAATACATGACTAACGAGGGACTCAACAAGAAACACCTGAAATCAATGAACACAATCAACATGGGAGAAACTATGTCAAGGAAGCACATAGGGAGCAAAACACAACAACACAGGAATACAAGGACAGTTCATGGGCATGACACTTTGTTGATTTAGTTTATTATTATTATTATTGTTGTTATTGTTGTTGTTGAGTGCCCTGAGCCATCAGATTTTCGCTAGAGAGCCAAAATTTACAGAATTATACCGCTACATTAAATCCTAAAAATAATAGTATTAATGATGGGCAATTCTCAAATAGGGATGAACATAAACTTTACCTATGTAACATCTGTATCTGTTTTCATGTAGATTGTGTAATCTAGATTTGGTACACCAGTAACACATTTCTAATTGGTTCAAATCAATCTTCCCTATTTAAATCATCTTTTTTGATTAATTGATTTGGTCTAACAAAATCTTTTGGTGTGACCTATGTGTATTTATGTTGTACAATTAAGACTCTTCAATGAAACAATGAAAGTGCACTTTAGGTGAAAAGTCTTTTCAAAAAAGTCAAAGTCAGAGACATCTGATCATTTGGTCATCTCCTTTGACTACGGTAAATGCCTTTTTCTTTTCACAGAAGACCTCTGATCTGACACTATATTTAGAAAACCATAACTGATCACAAATGGCCAAATGCTGGCGTTATCTTAGTTGCATGCTGTTGTTCGATTTAACAGATTAAAAAACAATGACATTTGTATTTGTTTTCCACTGGGCACAATTCAAATGAAATCCTCCATGCAGATAACAGAATATTATGATTTTAAAACTAACTCTGGAAATACTGATAACTGCGTACCTTAAAGCATGAAAAGCAGTCAACAGAGCTACATTAAACACATTACACATGGAGAGGCCTATACTGTATGTTCATATGGCTTATTTACAGTACATCTGTTTTACAAACATTATTTACTGAGAGTGCAACTTTCATGCAGTATGTTGTGTTTAATCAGGAATAGGAAGTGGGGGTTGTTTGCTTGGAAGGACATAAATGGATTCATAAAATATCTGACTTATGAAAGTTATGCTCTAGGGAAACAAGCTGAACTCATTCCATAGAACACAACATTAAACACACTGCCAACAGGTAAACACTCTTTGAACAGAAGGCCTGTTTTGAATCTATGTTCAAGTTCATGCATATATCATTCATTCTAACATTTGAAATGTGTTTATTTTCAATTTAAATGAAACCAGAACCTGTTTTAGTAGCCTCTCATACTTCTTGTTTTCTGTTCTGTTTAAGAATGTCTGGACTCTTGCCAGACTCCTTCATGCTATGTTATCATTTCAATATTAAAATGAATTAAAAGGTTTTTAAGATCATTCCGATTTTTTGTCAAAGTGTTACAATTAATTAATTATAATTAGGTAGCTTCTTTTTCTGTATTTTATTAATGTATTTTTATTTTATAGATTTTTGGTTTGATAAAATTGTTTCACTGGTAATCGTTATTTGAAAAACATCATAAAAACATAAAAAAGAAAAGATCTGCAATAAAATAAAAGGCCTCTAAAGACCGTTGTGACTATGGTCAATAAATGTCATAATATCGCTGAATAAATATTTCACTATATGTAAAAATATATATATAGTTTTAAGGTAAAAACCGATTACGATATGTACACTTATTCAAATTATTATTTTTATTTAATGATTATACCACACAATATTATTAGAGCTATTAAATTTAAATGTTTCCTGAAACTGAATGCAGAGAATACATTCCCAAGAACTTGACAGACGTGTTTTTTCCCTTCTCTTTAACATGCAGAATCGTATTTGTCATTTTGTCTTTTCCTGTTTCCGAAACTAGTTTTTAACAATGTATTCGCAATCTATACAATACCCAGTCAAACGTTCGTGCTATTAAACTACTTACCACATTCTAGCATAAACCCCAATCTCATTTAGTATTAGGAGTTTTTATGCATGCTTTTGAGCTTTTTCGATCAAAAGGTCAAAGATCATCTGACACAGATATAGTTCAGATATAGTAGCAAACTTTGCTGTGCCTTTTTCAATGCAGGAGGCCCCAAACTACACTATTCTGGTTGAAGCAAAGGATCATGGAGAGAAGATGCAGCTCTCCAGCACAAGCACAGTGATACTGAAAATCATCGACAAACACGACCATCCATCAGAATTCACTAGGAAAATGGTAAGTAGACCAAGTGTAAACTTGTTTCTGTCTTCAGAGCTTTCAGATGTTGCTATTTAGGTAACACTTTATTTTGATGGTCCACTTTTGACCATTCTGTTGACAACAAGTCTGATTAATATCTACTAAATATTTATTAAGACATTCTACTGACTCTAAGTAACTCTGCAAGTGCATGTCAACTTATTCTTACCCTAACCCTACCAGTCTACTAATACTCTACTAACACTTAGTAGGTGCAACATTACTCATAGCCAACAGTGTGTTAAAGGGAACATCAGAATAAAGTGAAACCAGTTATTCTGATTGAATTGTTTTGATTAGGGTTATATACCTCTATCACTGATTTGAGACTGGTGTTGAACATTCTAGAGGAAACTCCAGATGCACATTAATGTCCTTTCCAATCACAGTTTATTCAGAAAGATGCTAGCGACTCCTCAGTATTGAAGATGATGAAGCAAGTGGGTGTAATGGAGAGAATGGAGTCTGGACCTATGCTGGAGGCCAACAAACTGGCCATGTGTCTGTCTGAGGAGATGACTGACATTACAGCGCTCAGCCTAGCCCTGTACAGCCCACCAATACACTTCGAGCTGACTGGAGACGTCCAGGGGAAATGGAGGCTTCAGTCTAACTATGGTAATAGAAAAAAATATCATCTTTTTAAACACTGTAATAGCAAACAAATGTGCAATTCCATTTTCTGTTTTGTTTTGTTTTTTCTCCCAGGTACATCTGTGAGGCTGATCAAAGAGAGCGCCGTACAGGCGGGCGATCATCAACTCACCCTGAAGATCTCTGACAGCCAGGGCCAGCATTCAGTCCAGACCCTCTCGCTGCTTGTGTGTGACTGTGATGTTTCTGCAAACTGCAAAGACCCAGCAACAAAGATGAACGTCACTGCCATCGCTGTCGTAATCCTCAACATCCCGGTGCTGCTGGGTAAGAGCAGGATTTCATGTCAAGCACAATCCTGGGTTTCACATTCACTTTGAGCAGTCGGCAGAAATGCTTGTTGGGTTGATCTAAATATTTTATTCTGCAAGCTGCCTCTGCATTATATTACTGGAGGATGCATTTTAATATCAAAAATATTCAATAAATTGTAAATTGTATATGAATCAGTATACACTACTATGCAAACGTTTGGGTCGGTAAGATGTTTATTTTTATTTTTTATAGAAATCAATACTTTTATTCAGCAAGGCTGCAATAAATTAATTAAAAATAACCGTAAAGACATTTATAATGTTACAAAAGATTAATCAGCGCAACTGTTTTCAACAGAAATCAGAAATGTTTCTTGAGCAGCATATTATTATGATTTCTGAAGGATCATGTGACACTGAAGACTGGAGTAATGATGCTGAAAATTCATGATCACAGGAATAAATTACTTATCTAAATATATTCATATAGACAACTGTTATTATATATCATAATAATATTTCACAAGATTACTGTTTTTACTGTAATAATATATTTTACTGTAATTCTCAGGGGAAAAAAGGTACAAAAGCTGTCACTGGGGCACACTTTTGTACCTAAATAGTCTATATTGGTACCTTAAAGATACATATTAGTACCTAAAGTGTACCTATTAGTACCTAAAAGGTACAGAAGTGTACCTTTTGAAAAGGTACCACCCCAGTGACAGCTTTTGTACCTTTTTTTCTGAGAGTGAAAAAAACGTTTGAATGATAGTGTGTCTGAAGTTGTGTATCTAATAATTGTGTGTGTGTGTGTGTGATTTAAAACAAAAGGTATCCTGTTGATGGCGTGGTGTCAGGTCAGAGCAAAGAAATCTGCAAAGCACCAAATGCTTTTAGTGGAGGAATCAGAGCAATATCTTAGCCCTGACAGCATTGAAACACGTTGAACTTGGTTGCATGGTAAGCATTATTTTTGCAGTTTTATTCATTAGAATCATCTAGCACCAATTGCAGCTATTTTAGCAGGATTTGTTGTTTAAATATCCTTGATATGATGTTTCCGACTGTGTAAATGAAAGGGTCTATTAAACAGCTAGATCTAGATCCAATCACAGTTTCTGCTGCAAATTATGCACCTTGTTAAACCCAGAGGCTCAGACTAAAGTCCTCTATTATCCAGGCCACAGCTTTACTTGATGAACTCCTCGAGCCAGAGCTGGAACACAAACGCTCCCAGACTTCAGTCACGCCACTGAATGTGCGGTGAAAATATAAAGGACATCAAAAACTGATGTTGATCAGCGCACTATATGACTGACTTCTTGCTTTTACGCTGTGAATTAAAAGGAAGGGCTGCTTTGGTTGTTTTAAATGTAATTCTGCTTTATGTGCATGGTGTGAATGTGTCATATATTTATATCAGCTCATGCAAATGTGAAATCATTCATAAACAACCCTTACCTCTTGCTAAGACTGGGTATTCTTACACTGGTATATTTATAGTTTTTACTTTTTAAATGAAGGAATTTTAAGAATTATAAGTGAGAGATTGTTCATGTTTTGTGATGATTGTTTTTTTTATATTTGTTAATTGTAATTTATTTATTGCAGTCAAATAAAAGGAAATAAAAATAATCTGTTGCTTATCTATTTTAATTACAACCTGTGTGGCCTAAATTGTCCTTACTGGCCTTTGAACCTCCTGTAAGTGGATGTTTCACTGATTTCCACCTGATGGCCTTACACACCCAAATGGAATAAAAAGGAATGTCTTGGTCTTTTAAAATCTGGCAGTACAAGTGCACACATTCATAATGAGAATCATATCACCAGAAGACCATCACCCAATACAGGGCACATTCACATTCCTTCTGAGAGACATGATTTGGCAAATTAGACAGAAACCTGTTTTTTCTTTGCTGTTCAGATTCTGTCAGCAGGAGGAAAAAATACCATGTAACACAAGGAAACACTGCTACTTTAACTAGCGTAATTGTGAGGAATGTGTAAGGCACATGACTGCTGTAAGGTGATTAACAATGCATGCATGTCTGTCTAGGACTTAGGCTTGTTTAAGATGCCTTTTTAGCAGAGTTGTTAAACTAGTGAGCGATATAAATAATATAAAAAACATTATTCACAATTAGTTCAACTTTGAGCATTTTAGCCCCGTGGAATTTTTAGCACATTTTAGACAATTCAGTTGAAGCTCTTATTGTCATTTAACCTTGTGAGGAAGCAAAATTGTGTTTCTCAACAGGTCTGCTGCTTATTTTACACAAGACTATTTTGAATTTATATAATTTTTTTGACTGACATGAATACTTCTACTACACATCTGAAATCGCCATTTATTCTGTGATGGAAATGACATTATTAACATTTTGAATGAATAAACTGACTCCATTGTCTTGTCTGGACTCATTTCAAAGCTAGAATTTTATGTAGGCCTAAAGATGCATACATATTTAGGGCTGGGGTTTTGACACAAATTTCACGATTCGATTCTATTCTCATTCACAAGCTTGCGATTCGATCCGATTACCGATTTGATTCGATTCAAAATAGGATATATATCAGGTACAATACATGCCAGATTTTCTCAAGGAAAAAGAAAAATCTCAACTAATGCTGTAAAATACACACGAGAGTCAGCTGGCGCTACATTATCATAATACTGAAGGTTAAAATTGACTGATTTGTTAAAATTACACTTAATGACGTTTTTAAAATAATAAAGTTGCAATTACATAATAATATTTCTACTTTTTTTTAAAAAATATAAACATAACGGTGGCTGTCATTAAAAACTTGCTGGATTTATTCAAACATAAATTAAACACTGAAGAACAGTAAAATGTATAATTATGTTAGACGGTGCATATATTTTGCAAAATGCCCCTCTCTACAGTTTATTTGTCCATCTGACTAATGAGTTTATCGAATATGTTTTTCTGAGGTAATTGTGACATTGTTTACAAGCCGTTATATTGACGTCTTTGCAAAACACTGATTTGAGAGATTACACCATATTTTTTACCCAGCCCTGTAACCCAGGATCACATGTGATATTTTCCTTGATAAATATTGATGTATTATTTATCTCTCTCAGTTTTATTAGGGGCAACATTGTAGCCTGTGATGGAAGTGGTGAATAAATATGTACATAGCCTAAATCACTTGTAGGCTACACAGTACTGCAATGATATTTTAGTGTGGATGCTCTGCAGTGAATGGGTGCCGTCAGAATGAGACACCAGGTAGCAGATAAAAACATCACAGTAATCCACAAGTCTGTGCTTATATTGCTTTCATTATGTTAGATGGTGCATATATTTAGCAAAATGCCCCTCTCTACAGTTTATTTGTCCATCTGACTAATGAGTTTATCGAATATGTTTTTCTGAGGTAATTGTGACATTGTTTACAAGCCGTTATATTGACGTCTTTGCAAAACACTGATTTGAGAGATTACACCATATTTTTTACCCAGCCCTGTAACCCAGGATCACATGTGATATTTTCCTTGATAAATATTGATGTATTATTTATCTCTCTCAGTTTTATTAGGGGCAACATTGTAGCCTGTGATGGAAGTGGTGAATAAATATGTACATAGCCTAAATCACTTGTAGGCTACACAGTACTGCAATGATATTTTAGTGTGGATGCTCTGCAGTGAATGGGTGCCGTCAGAATGAGACACCAGGTAGCAGATAAAAACATCACAGTAATCCACAAGTCTGTGCTTATATTGCTTTCAGCAGAGAACTATCTTACTCTGAAGCAAAGGTTTGATGTTAAAAATGTCACTTTTCATTTCACAGGACATTGATTGATGCTGGAGTGGTGTGGGTTATTGGGATGTTTCTATCAGTTTTATTTATGTATCTCTCTCAGTTTTATTAGAGGCAACATTGCAGCTTGTGATTGAAATGGTGAATATTTGCATAGCCTAAATCACTTGTACAGTAAAATGTACATTTATCCGTTTGTTCAGATGATCATGTTTTTGTTAATGTTTTGGGATGGAATTTCATAATTTAATACAACACAAAATATATAATGCAAGGAGGCCTCTGGTTCCAGGTTTTTAAAGTGACTTTAATTTAACGAAAAGAAACCAGTTGCAATCTGCTAGTTTGACTAGATAACTTCCAGTGGCTGAGTGAAGAGAAGGCAGCAGTGCAGTGGTGTTGAGTCGTGGCAGCACTGGAGATGGGCGGACTGTAGAGCAGCAGCCAGGAACAGACAGCAAAGCCGATACTTCCCCGGAGCACAGCAAAAAGAAAACGGTAAATGTTTCTAAATGTTTCGTGTAAATGCATAAAGTTAAGGAGCATGGAAGATCGCGTGCATTTGCACTGATTTATGGATTTATATTCAACGGCCTGAAGTCACGCACTGTGACTGTAAACACACACACACACACACACATATATATATATATATATATCCACACATTTCACAGGAGCTGCATCATTTATGCTGATGGTTGAAGACAGCAGCAGCTCATCACGATCACGATTAAACCTCATATGAAGCCGAGTCGCTTTCTTTCAGCCTTTTATTCTTTACATAAGCCGAGTTAACGAGACAATATTAAACGATTAATGAACCCCACAGTTTAAACCGCAGGTTACAATCAGTGTTTCGGTGGATTAAAGCAAGCATTGCTCTTGTTTTACTTCGGTTTGCTCTTTCTTAGCAAAGATTGTGTCGCTTACACCGCTTTCCTGAAGGACTGCAGTCAGATAAATGTTCATAAAACTGTGCTGTACACGGTTTCTTAACGCCTTGTTTGCAGCATTATGGGCTGCCGACCCTTTTGTTTCTGAGAAATGTTAGCCAGCCCTTTCACTTCACGTCTATCGCTTGCAAGGCGAGTCTGTTCTTAAAGAAACACTGTTCTTTAGCGTGCTAGTAACTTGCATGAGTTAATGTTGTGTTGTTTGTGAATGGATGTTGTTATGGTGGGGTGCGGCGACATGACTGGGTTCTGTTCATCAATCCATCGATCTTTACACGCAGTAATACACCTAGATAGTCGTTAATGTTGTGTTTCACGGTTACAGCATTTATCGTTTGGTCGGTACTTGTGGGAAATGTTGTTTTCTTTTTCAACATAGCGATACAGGTGCAGTGTAACTTCCGGTCAAATGATATTTCCGCAGCTGTGTTTCCGGTTCATGTTGACTATAGGGATGGGCCATGCCCCTTATTTTGTTTTCGATACCGATATTTTTCAAGGCAGTATCGTCGATATCGATACCGATACGATACTTCTGCACTAAACCTTTACATTATGAAATGTATTAAATGTATTAAATTACTAAGAGTAAAATGGGTAATGAAAACCACTTAACTTTATGTTTAAAACCCATTTTAACTCGTTTAATCCCAAAGTTTTCCCAGACATGAAAATATCCAAATGATGCGTCATTAGTAACCCTTTGTTTGTTTTTTGGGAAGTGTGTGAAAAATTGTATTTTATGGTCAGTCACAATTGTAACCGGTGGGATAATGTGTGTACTGTATTTCTGCAGTCTTAAAAATGGTTATATATACAATAGCCCAGCTATTTAAAACCGTTTGATCACATTCTAGGGTTACTATTATGCATAAAAAGCCCTTATACAACATTGATAGGAATACTGAGATCAAATACAAAAAATACAACCATCAACGCATTTCAAAATTGTTTCTTTTTTGTAACATATATCATCACGTTTTTATATTAGTGCTACCAGTATTACAACATTAATACTCTAACTTATTTGTAACATTTGAACTTTTGATTTAGTGCAATATTTTGTACTGCCATTAGGGACTGCCAGTGAATGGCTGTTGCATGCATTAAATGCAACCTTTTTATTCTGACAGTGTATGATTTCTATTAACATTACAGAATAGAACATGATCAATATTATCTTTCAACGTTCAATTTAAATAATTGTAATTGCACAAACTATGTAGGCTACAATTTCAGTTTGTTTATTGTGAAATAACTCTGTCCTCTGATAAGCACTGTTCAGGGCTGCCGTTCCCAAAAGCTTTAATGCTTTCTTATGATACGTTTGGGAGACGCAGCCCTGTTTGAATGCGCTGTCAGCAGTGAGTGAACGCTCTCTGTGATGGATAAGTTCTGTCTTGCAACATTTGCGTGTGTTCAGATGAGCAGGAAAATAGTTCTATCCTACACAATTACTCGCGAACAAAGGTTATTCGTCCAATTCCGTGCATATTGTACGCATTATTATTATTTTTGTTAAATAAAAAAAACCACTGGTAAATAAAACGCACCTTAGTATCGATATTTTTTGTTTGAGTATCGATACTTTCGATACTCTCGCCAGTATCGATATATCGATACGCCCATCCCTAGTTGACTATAGAAATGATTCACAGAACACATATGACTTCAACATCTATCTGTCTATCTATCTAATGCAAACTTTGCATTTCTCCACTTTTAAAGCTGCTTTTTCACTCTTGGCCTCTTTCTGAAAATGCTTCAGATCTGTAAAGCTCTTTTTGCTTGTCGTTTGTCTGATCGCTCTCTCCTCTGCAGATGGCTGCCATTCGTAAGAAACTGGTTATAGTGGGCGATGGAGCCTGTGGAAAGACCTGCTTGCTTATTGTTTTCAGTAAAGATCAGTTTCCTGAAGTCTACGTGCCCACAGTGTTTGAGAACTATGTTGCAGACATTGAGGTCGATGGAAAACAGGTATGAAAGCACACAGTTTGTAAACCATTATTTTCACTGAGATGCACCATGAAAACAATGAATGCATTATAATAGCGTGTAATATTTACTTCAATAAGTTTTCGATGAGTTGAGTGAACTTACCAACTTGAATGCTATTTCTGCTGCTAAAGTTGAAATTTACTCTTGGGAATGTGTATACCAAAATACATCACCAGAACAATATTCAGTATTCTGTCCTTCCCCCGTCGCATAGATGCGGCTACGCTGGTGTAAGTTATACATGTACATTCCTCTTTTATACGCGAGACCGCAGTTGTTGTGTTATTTGAGAGAGTTTAGCACATTGGTCTCAGACTCAATTCCTGGAGGGCCACAGCTCTGCACAGTTTAGCTCCAGCCCTAATCAAACACACTGATCCAGCTAATCAAGGTCTTCAGGATCACTAGAAACCTCCAAGCAGGTGTGAGTTGGAGCTGGTAGGAGAGAAACACTGCAGAGCTGTGGACCTGCAGGAATTGAGTTTGAGACCACTGGTTTAGCACATTGACCGATATCTCTCTTCTTACAGGTAGAGCTTGCCTTATGGGATACGGCTGGACAGGAGGACTATGATCGGTTAAGACCTCTCTCCTACCCTGACACAGATGTCATTCTTATGTGCTTCTCCATTGACAGTCCCGATAGCTTGGGTAAGACGTCCTCGTAAACAATTAGATATTACTAGCCCATTCATCACACCTTAATTCTAAATGTTGAAAAAAGATACCATATTTTCAAGATTTAAGTCGGCATGAGATGAAAATCAAATGGATCTATTTTCTAAATGCATGTTATTGATCTTATTGTGAACGATTCACCCGTGCACATTTCTGTTTTGCTTGTTTTTTTAATGTTTGACCTCAAAATACCATAACTCAATTTTCTGGTGAAAATAGCAATAATTTAGTCGGCTTAACCCCGCCAATGCAAGTTTTCTTGCATGAGCCCACTTCCCAAAATCCAATCAACAACTGATGGATTGATATAAGTCCCGTCTTTATTTTGAATCCTCTTCTATGATAATTCATTACAAATGGATGTACGTCACAGTACGGAAAAAAAGATCTGTCAATATTTAAGTTTCATCTCGATTTTGAAGTCAACATGAAATAAAAATTCACCCAGTCTGTTTTCTTTTATTTTACTATTTCATTAGCACCTTAAGTGTGTTTCTCATAGTGGTAAAACCAGTCAGCTAAGAATAAATACAATTTTCTAATGAACTGAATCATGAAACCTTCACTTGTGGTCTAAATACAATGCTTTCACATCAAAGTTAAAGATGCAGCAATTAAGCCACCAAGCAGAAATGCGTTTTCAAGAATGATCGGGTTTTCATCAGGTCTTTACATCAAAACCTAAAGAGACATGCACACTGAATTTGTACGAAGCTGAGGTAACCGGCAAAGATTCAGGGGCTCAGTTTTTATTAACGTTCTAAAACAAAAATATATATACCAATTAACTCAGTTTAAACAATATAAGATTATTTACTCTAAGCCATTACATACTTGTCATAATTAAAAAATTACTTGAAATATGGTTAATACAGTTACCACTCTCTCCTTTTAATCCATCACAGAGAATATTCCAGAAAAGTGGACACCAGAGGTGAAGCATTTCTGTCCGAATGTTCCCATCATCCTCGTTGGTAACAAAAAGGATCTCCGAAATGATGAGCACACACGAAGGGAACTTGCCAAAATGAAACAGGCAGGGTCTTTTTACTTAGTAAAGTGTATGATTCTTAAAGGAAAAGGTCATCCAGCAATGAACATTAGCTGAAAATGTACTCACCCTCAGGCCATCAAAGATGTAGATGAGTTTGTTTCTTCATCAGAACAGATTTAGAGAAATTTAGCGTCACATCATTTGCTCACCAATGGATCCTCTGCAGTGAATGGGTGCCGTCAGATCCCATGGGTGCCACTCTTTAGTTCTTCATTCTGACGGCACCCATTCACTGCAGAGGATCCATTGGTGAGCAAGTGATGTGATGCTACATTTCTCTAAATCTGTTCTGATAAACAAAGTCATCTGCGTCTCGGATGGCCTGAGGATGAGTAAATTGTAGCAGATTTTCATTTTTAGGTCAATTATTCCTTTAAACGCTGCAGAATGTCCAAGCTGCTCTTTTCCAATTAAGTGGATGGTAATGTATACTGTCAAACTCCAGTCAGCTGTGGTTAATAACAAACAAAGTTATTTGATGATTTTTGGAGGCGTTTTTTTTTTTTTTTTTTTTTTTTAAAGAGCTGGACAGTATAAATAACATCCATTTTCATTGTAAGCTTAGGTATTCTGCATAAAATTGTTGTCTTTTTAATGGAAGGGTCAATTTGAAAATGTTCTTATTTTAGGTGAAGTATTCCTTTGATATTGGGTAGTCACTAATGGTACGTTCAAGTCATGTCGGATGGATCGTATTTACGAGTTGAACGCACATGAACGCCACCACAAAGTCGTTATTACGAGTGGGAAACTCTACATTTTCTTTAAGACTTGAGTTTCCGAGTTGGGGGCGTGTCAGTGAGAAACATGGCGGAATCGATGGATGCAACGTCTGTAGTTGACGGTAAATTTTTGTTTAAATTGATAGTTTAGTTGTCCTATAAACTTAAATTGGTCATGGTCTTGTTACGCAGCTAGTTAATGAAATCCAAGTAAAAAAAATGCAGACCCTGTTGTATTTTCTTGTAATTTATTAAAAGAAGGTACACGCCATCCTGTGCCGACTAAACTGACTTGAACGCACCTGACGTCGTAATTACGACTTGTCAACTCGTAAGTACGAACGTCCCAGGAGGACTTGAACGCCGCATTAGACATGCTTGTGATATCTTTGAATTATTTCTTCACTCAGGAGCCTGTGAAGCCAGAGGAGGCACGAGACATGGCCAACCGAATCAACGCCTTTGGTTATTTAGAATGCTCAGCCAAGACAAAAGATGGCGTGAGGGAGGTGTTCGAGATGGCCACCAGGGCTGCGCTGCAAGCGAAGAAACGGGGCAAAAAGTCTGGCTGTCTGCTGTTATAGAAACCTGTAGAAGAGAGGAGGTCAGTTAACAGCCCAGGAGACTTCAGAGCAGGGAGGGAGGGATGATGGGACGAGCCTGGCATTCGTGTCCTAGTACCGGACTGATACTGGGACATCATGTCTGACAAACCAACGGAAAGACTTCAGGAACAAGATGACGTCCTTTCCTGTCATCACAAAGTTTGGGCTTAAGAGTTTTCTGGTCACATCAAGCAAAAAATAAAAATGAGATAAAATTTCCAAACGGACTCTATACCTAGGATATTTGATGTTATTCTTCTCCACCCACTCTTTAGTCCCAAACAAAAAAAGGTCTTAAATAAGCGTCCTGCCTTCGGCGACGGTTTTGTGCATTGGACAGATTGTATGTATGTTTGTATATGTAAGAATATGAATGTTAGTGTCAAATGAGCGCATGTCCGTCTCCAGGTCGCCAACTCTTCATTGCATATGCGTGTATCTGCCCGGCTTTATTCTGTTGGATTATGCTGTGCTCAACTAAAGCACACACTGAACATCGAAGTGGGCTGTATTGTGTTTAACCTCCCACTTCAGGCTTTTTCCTTTTTTATAGCTGATGTCTCAAAGGATTCTGGGCTGTACTTTAGGGATCTAAACCATTTAGTGATACTGATTTATTTAAAGCATACAGGGTTTTTTTTATCATTTGCATTTAGAAATAAAATATAAAGAAAATCTGATTTGAAAAGTCATTTTTTTTCATTCACTCAAATTCCTTCTCCTTGTGTTTCCAAAAGGGGTACTACTTAATACTGCACAGTGTACTGTACACTATATAGGGAGTGCAACAGTAGTATGCTATATTGTTGTCATGTAATGTCTTTTTCAAATTCGGACCTACTACTCTTTTCGCAAACATAACTCATGTTTATGTAACAAAAACTTATGTTTGCGAAAAGAGAAGTAGGTCCGAATTTGAAAATGACATTACATGACAACAATATTGCATACTACGGTTTCACTCCCTATATAGCAAAAAATACCCGGATGACCTACTATTTCCAGTAAGACTCTGAAGGGCACATCTGATGGACACCTTACAGTCCCATGAGGCCACGAGAGAGGAGTTGGATGGCAGTGGATCGCCTTAACTGTTGGTAGGTCACATAACAATGCCAACATGACAGATGTAGTATGCCTGGATTATATTCATACTATATAGAACATACCTTTTAATGATCACAAAGTAATAATAATAATAATAACAAACATTTATAGCACTTTTCATACAACTGCAACTCAAAGTGCTTCACAGGGGCTAAACAAAAAATAAAAAAACATTGACAATACAATTTTGCACACTAAGTAATCACTTATTCAAAAGAAGTACCTACTAAGTGTGCGATTTTGGCCGCAGCCTAACGGTTCATTCTGTGCCGTGTGCTTAGTATACTGCACATTTTGGGAAATGCGTGTTGTAGGCATACAAAATATTGCATACTACTCAAGAGTATATGAACATAGCCAAATGTGACCCTGGACCACAAAACCAGTCTTAAGTGTCAATCTTTCGAAATTGACATTTGTACATCATCTGAGAGCTAAACAAATAAGCTTTCCATTGATGTAGGGTTTGTTAGGATATGATATAATATTTGGTCGAGATACAACTATTTGAAAATCTGGAATCTGAGGGTACAAAAAACAAAAAAAAATCAAAATATTGAGAAAATCCCCTTTAAAGTTGTCCAGATGAAGTTCTTAGCAATGCATATTACTAATCAAAAATGAAGTTTTGATATATTTACAGCAGGACATTTACAAAATATCTTCATGGAACATGATCTTTACTTCATATCCTAATGATTTTGGGGCATAAAAGAAAAAATGTATACTTTTGACCCATACAATGTATTTTTGGCTATTGCTACTTAAGACAAAAATTGTTTTGTGCTCCAGGGTCACAAATGATTTTGGTGTTTCAGTCCTCCACGTCCACACTTTAGTGTTGACTGCAGTGAAGCACAGCAAAGCACTCTTCTGGAAGCTGAGATAATAAACGGGACACCCCTGCAGCAGAGGTGCCCAATCCTGCTCCAGAGTTCAGTTCCAGCCCTGCTTCTGCTGTCTGTAATCAAGTGCTCCTGAAGATCATAACTAGCTGGTCCAGGTGTGTTTGGTCAGAGTAAATTTGGCATCAGCTGTCTGCAGTGTAGTACATGTTTACTAATGGTTACCTTACAAAATACATGCGTTTGCATGCCAGTGTGTTTTAAGCCAATCAGCTGGAGAGTAGTGTCCCCGCCTCCCGGACTGAGGCCATCTTACACTGAGCTCTGCTGTGCATATACATATAACACTGTATCAGTTTCAACGCTTGTGACACTGCTGGTGTAACAGAGGTATTATGCGATTCAAATACTATTTTATTTGAAAAGTTTTGCGTATCTGGATGTTCGTTCTGTGGGCGCATGCGCGCGTTGGATTGGAGACGTGTTCTCTGAACTCATTCTAAGCTGTCATGCGCGCGGCTTTATTAAATGTACCTTTTGCAAATGATATTTATTTGGGGCACGCAGGGATAGAACTTTCGTTGACGGTTGTTGTGTATGCATTTAGATATATGTTTTTCTATAGATTAGTGTCAGGCTCAGTTTAGCATCTGCAGGACTGAACAACCCTGCAGAAACTACTGGATGTCTGATCTGACAGCGCATTTTGAGTTTTTCCAAATGGCGTTTAAGAAATGATATGCAAATTATTTTTTGGTTTGGACCCATCCATTGCATTGCATACAGCTCACGCTACTTTCCGTCCTGCCCTTACTTAAAATGATCAGTTGAGGTCAAGTAAAAAATCTTTGTTTTTATGCATTTTGTTTTATTAATGTGACTGTTGATCAATACATATTTCGTCAACAGTTGTAAATGAAGCTGGCCGAGAAAAAAGTGGGCGTTTCTGTCGATTTGCACTGAAGCATGGATTATGAGAGGAGGTAGGTCAAGAGTCCATCAGCCTGCAGTGTTACCTTCTCTTTTTAATATGAATTTGCATTTAACCACTGGATGGATTTGTGCATAAATATTTTGACCTTCATGCTGTTAAACCTGAATAGGTAAATGGCAAGTAACCAACATTAACTCTTAAATGTACTAAAGATTTTAGGTGTGCAACTACATGCAGAAAAGTATTTAAAGGGGTCATGACATGACTTAAAAAAAAAAAATATTTTAATATGTTCCTTGAGGTTTACTTATAATGTTAATATGTTTTTTTTTTTTGCACAAACTAATACATATTTGGAAAAATTTTATTTTAAAGTCGGCATGAAATTGAAATTGAAAATTCTTATTTTTTTTAATGGAATACTGTAGTGTTTATTATAAATCATTTATCCTTGCGCTTCATTCTTTTTTTTTTTTTTTTAATTCAGGTGCCCTCGTAATCTTTAATTAAAAACGTTAACCTCCCTTCCCCCTCAAAACGACTCCTCTTCTCTTCCGGTCACGAGCTATGGCGCAAGGGCGGAGCTAGTGACGTGAGGGGTACATAACGGGAAAAGCTGAAGTAGAAGCTTCACTTTATAGAAATCAATGCATTGACAAGTGCTGACGCAAGCCATGGGGGAGTACACTACCCTTAAAAATTGAAAGGATATTAGGATATTACCACAACATTACTCTTAGGACATCGCAAACTAATTTTTTTTAAATGATATTTATTTGGGGCACGCAGGGATAGAACTTTCGTTGACGGTTGTTGTGTATGCATTTAGATATATGTTTTTCTATAGATTAGTGTCAGGCTCAGTTTAGCATCTGCAGGACTGAACAACCCTGCAGAAACTACTGGATGTCTGATCTGACAGCGCATTTTGAGTTTTTCCAAATGGCGTTTAAGAAATGATATGCAAATTATTTTTTGGTTTGGACCCATCCATTGCATTGCATACAGCTCACGCTACTTTCCGTCCTGCCCTTACTTAAAATGATCAGTTGAGGTCAAGTAAAAAATCTTTGTTTTTATGCATTTTGTTTTATTAATGTGACTGTTGATCAATACATATTTCGTCAACAGTTGTAAATGAAGCTGGCCGAGAAAAAAGTGGGCGTTTCTGTCGATTTGCACTGAAGCATGGATTATGAGAGGAGGTAGGTCAAGAGTCCATCAGCCTGCAGTGTTACCTTCTCTTTTTAATATGAATTTGCATTTAACCACTGGATGGATTTGTGCATAAATATTTTGACCTTCATGCTGTTAAACCTGAATAGGTAAATGGCAAGTAACCAACATTAACTCTTAAATGTACTAAAGATTTTAGGTGTGCAACTACATGCAGAAAAGTATTTAAAGGGGTCATGACATGACTTAAAAAAAAAAAATATTTTAATATGTTCCTTGAGGTTTACTTATAATGTTAATATGTTTTTTTTTTTTGCACAAACTAATACATATTTGGAAAAATTTTATTTTAAAGTCGGCATGAAATTGAAATTGAAAATTCTTATTTTTTTTAATGGAATACTGTAGTGTTTATTATAAATCATTTATCCTTGCGCTTCATTCTTTTTTTTTTTTTTTTAATTCAGGTGCCCTCGTAATCTTTAATTAAAAACGTTAACCTCCCTTCCCCCTCAAAACGACTCCTCTTCTCTTCCGGTCACGAGCTATGGCGCAAGGGCGGAGCTAGTGACGTGAGGGGTACATAACGGGAAAAGCTGAAGTAGAAGCTTCACTTTATAGAAATCAATGCATTGACAAGTGCTGACGCAAGCCATGGGGGAGTACACTACCCTTAAAAATTGAAAGGATATTAGGATATTACCACAACATTACTCTTAGGACATCGCAAACTAATTTTTTTTAATGAATATGACTTAACCTGATGGAGGTCTTTCTTTGATCTTTCTCTCGCGCGTGTAAGCGCGCTGTTAGGCATGTTTTGTGACGTTGCCATCTTCCTCAATAAATAAAAACTAACTGCAAACTGACATTCAGATCTGCCTCCATTTTGTTAGCAACACCCCAACTTCCAATGATCCAATTAATTCCCAAAGGACGAAATCAAGTCCCACCCCCTCGTTTCAGATGCCGTTTCACTCGGATAGACGTCACAGTAGAGAAAAAAAAAGACAATCGCTACTTCCGTTTCATGCCGACTTTAAACCCTCAATCTGACCATCTGTGTAAAAAAACAACCTGTTTTAAGGGGCGGGTCCTTTAAGGCTTCTCCGTAACCAGCCACTGTTATGATTAGCTAACGTCATTGCATAGGAAATAGTATCAATGCCCCCTCGCTATTGCCTGTGAATGTTTTGACAACATGATAAAAAAAAAGGTCATTTCTAAAGCATTATAAAATCATTTACTTGTGATTTGCGGTGTTCTAGCCTAGTACCACTTCATCTTTCAACAAATGATTATTTTTAAAAAATTATTTCTGAACACTGACACTCCGATCAATCCTCTGACACGATCCGGGATGCCATTAAAAATAAAACTATCCACTTGTTCCTTTTGCTGGGATCCTTCTTATATCTGTACAAAGATGCGAATTAACTGTTTAAACCAAATGCAAACTCAATTTGTACTGACGACAGACTCCAGCATGTGGACTGTGTCAAGAAAGTGAACATGCATCTGTATACTGTATCCAGTGTAGACAAGATAGCGGTAGTGATTGAAAATTCTGTTTGCTTTTGACACGACACTCGCATTCAGCGTAATCAAGTGTCAGCCATTAAGTGACTGAACGCCAGTGGGATGGGCGTATGGTGAGAAGAATATTATTTGTCGATGTCTTGCTCTGGAGACAATGTTTATGCAAATGTTTGTGCCCGGGTGATGTCATCTTGCACCTCAGATCCAAATGAGCCATTTTTGGAGCTGGATTCAATAAATGTTTTGTTTAAATGAGGGACATTTTAAGCTATGAAAATTGCAGGATGGTTAAATGGTACAAAGACCTCTTATATGCCAAAAGATCAAGACAAATTTGATTTCTCATGTCATGACCCCTTTAAGTTCCTGCAACTGATCACAATTTATTTTTCCCTTTCAACATCAACTTTTTGAAGTTTACCTAAATAGTCCTTCAGTGTAATAGATGGGCTTACAAATATAGGGAAGCACAAGTATTCCATGTTGTCTTTTAGATGCCATAAAGCTGCATCTATAATAACGAAGTAGACGGATGTTGATTAAATTAGTTTTAGATAAAATGCCACTTCACACTGCAGGATGCTGCTGTCACTGCTTAGTTTAAATATATTTGATCTACCACACTGACAGTACATGATTGCATATGCTTGGTTCTTGGCTGGAGCAAGATTGTTGATTGTACTCACCCTCAGATCATTCAAGATGTAGAGAGTTTGCTTCTTCATGGGAACAGATTTAGAGTAATTTATCATTACATCGCTTGTTCACTAATGGATGCTCTGCAGTGAATGGGTGCCGTCAGAATGAGAGTTTAAACAGCTGATAAAAACATCACAATAATCCACAAGTAATCCACACCACTCCAGTCCATCAGTTAACGTCTTGTGAAGTAAAAGCCTACGTGTTTGTACTAAATGAGACCAAATCAAGATTTTAATTTTAAAGGGGTCATATGAAGAACATTAAAGGGGTCATATTCTAAAAAGAACATTATTTTGTGTATTTGGTGTAATGAAATGTTTTTATGCGGTTTAAGGTTCAAAAAACACATTATTTTCCACATACTGTACATTATTGTTTCTCCTCTATGCCCCGCCTTTCTGAAACGCGTCGATTTTTACAAATCTCATCGGTCTGAAAAGCGAGGTGTGCTCTGATTGGCCAGCTATCCAGTGCTTTGTGATTGGCCGAATACCTCAAACGTGTGACGGAAATGTTACGCCCCTCACCATATTGTGATGCCTTTACGAGACAAAAACATTAAAACCCATTATAAACGAGGCATTTGTTGCATCCAGTGGGCACATAATTACGCTAAGAATGCTCCCACCAAATTCAACTGTTAACGAGGTTTGTCTTACTTTTATTTCTTGATATGAATACAGTAACCATTTCAGTAAACGTCTGTGGCATACTGTTACAACAGAAATCAAAACAAAAATAGAACTGCATTCACTTTGCAATAGAAATCTGTGTGGCAGTTGGTGTTTGTTTGCACTATAGACTTACATTGTACATAGTAAATAGTTTGTAAAAACTGTGGGATAGGTTGACATTTTTTGGTGTAATACATATCATGCTACAAATTACAGAATTTAAAGGAATAGTTCAGCCAAATCCAAATCTCAGGCAATCCAAGATGTTGATGAGTTAGTTATTTGTTTTCATTGGAACAGGTTTGTAGAAATTTTGTATTACATGACTTGCTCACCAATGGATCCTCTGCATTGAATGGGTACTTTCAGAAGGAGAGACCAAACAGCTGATAAAAACATCACAATAATCCACAAATAACCCACACCACTCCAGTCCATCAATTAACATCTTGTGAAGTGAAAAGCTGCATGTTTGTAAGAAAAAAAAAAAAACATAATTTAGACATTTCAACTTTAAACCATTGCTAAAATACACATCCTCTCCATAATTGTGTTTTCTCTGGTGTAAAACTCACCTTTTCTGAATCAGGAGAGAAATATGCACAGATCAAGCACATTCACAAGTGAAAACAGTCCAAAACAGTTCTGAACAAATATGTCAGTGGATGTTGATGTGAAATGAAAAAAAAGTTGACAGACTTTTTCACTGGAGGAAGCATTATTATGGATTATTTTGGCCAGAAGCGACTGTTTAAAGTTAAAATGCCTTAATGATGAATTTGTTTTTAATAAACATGCAGTTTTCACTTCACAAGATGTTAAGTGATGGACTGGAGTGGTGTGGATTACTTGAGGATTAATGTGATGTTTTTATCGGCTGTTTGGACTCTCATTCTGACGGCACCCATTCACTGCAGAGCATCCATTGGTGAACAAGTGATGCAATGCTACATTTCTCCAAATCTGTTCTGATACATAATTTAGACATTTCAACTTTAAACCATTGCTAAAATACACATCCTCTCCATAATTGTGTTTTCTCTGGTGTAAAAGTCACCTTTTCTGAATCAGGAGAGAAATATGCACAGATCAAGCACATTCACAAGTGAAAACAGTCCAAAACAGTTCTGAACAAATATGTCAGTGGATGTTGATGTGAAATGAAAAAAAAGTTGACAGACTTTTTCACTGGAGGAAGCATTATGGATTATTTTGGCCAGAAGCGACTGTTTAAAGTTAAAATGCCTTAATGATGAATTTGTTTTTAATAAACATGCAGTTTTCACTTCACAAGATGTTAAGTGATGGACTGGAGTGGTGTGGATTACTTGAGGATTAATGTGATGTTTTTATCGGCTGTTTGGACTCTCATTCTGACGGCACCCATTCACTGCAGAGCATCCATTGGTGAACAAGTGATGCAATGCTAAATTTCTCCAAATCTGTTCTGATGAAGAAACAAACTCTCTACATCCTGGATGGTCTGAGGGTGAGTAAAGTTTCAGCCAGTAGCATACTCATTTTGTCCAAATATTTTCTTTGAGGTCATGCCATGAGGTTTGGTGTAGTTAAGCGCTAGTGTTTGATCTTTAGATTCGGGCTCAACTGCAAGAGCAAGGGATCCAGCCCAGAGAGATTCGCCTCATGAGGAACAAGTCTTCAGGTAAGAAAGCTCTACTAAGGGGGCTTCTTTGTACCCCAGACTGATCTCCAAGTCTCTCTTCCACTGCCTTCCATATCAAGCCTTAACTCACTCTTGCGTCTGCCTAGTTCAATGTGTTATTTCAATACAGCCTCTCTCTTCTTTCTCACTTTCCTCCTGGTGTAGTTGAGTTGAGTAAAGATGCTGTTTAGTATTGGTGCTTTGAAACCTTCAGACCTTCAGGTCTTTAATTCCCTGCACATATTTTTGTTTAAGCCATCACTGCTTATTTCCAGTTCTCTATTGTGTGTTACTGTGTTACTATTTTAACCCTTGTCAGACTATTCTTAACCAGACAACATTAATGTAAACACTCACGATACATCCACAAGCATGGGAATAATAGAAACATGCACACTGGCACACACGCACAAACACAACTACTCCAAGTGCCAAGCTTGTTTCACATGTCCTGCCAGCCTTATCCCTCATCTCACTTTGATTTGCTCTTGTCCTGAAGTCTGGGGAAGATCTTGCATCTTACATTGTGTAAGTATTTTGCAATAGCTGTGTTGAGAAGACAAGTGTGTCTGACCATTACGTGGGCAATTTCTGGCTTTTTTTGATGGGTTTTGGAATTTTGTGTCTTCAACTAAAAGGGTGGACAAAATAATGTAAACACCATTTAAAAGGTTTTTAGTTTATTTCAGGTAATTTAATTGCACAGCTACAAAGGTGAGTCAGTGTAGGTTAATTCGTTTTAAGAGTAAGAGATGCTTTGAGGATTCATCTTTGGTCTGTGTTCTAATGGATTTACATTTGAAGAAGCCAAAGAATGCCAATTAAATCGGTGTTTTAGGAAACTCTTAAATATTGTTCCTAATCCATAAAGGAATAGCTAAATCATTATGTCTGATGACTGTAATACATCATTATAATTTACTGTAATATCATTTAATAGGGCCGTCAAGCAATTAAAAATTTGAATCTACATTTTATGCCGCCAGTTAATCACACTTCAATTTGGGCTAAGAAATTACCTCCAAAAAATAATTTAAAGTCATTATTGTGTTAAATAAGATCTGAATAGACTTAGCTTTAGAAATATTGATTCAACATAGAATTTATTACACCTAAACCTTTAAGGCTACAGTGTGGACCTAACATTGTTTTTAGAAGCTGCACCTGAAGTGCTGGCATTTTAGATACATTTCAACTTTCTGTACTGTCAGCTCCTGATACCAAGACGAATTTCTTGTGTGTGGAAACACACTTGGCAATAAAGCTCTTTCTGATATTCTGATCATTGAATATCACATTTGCAATCAAGGGGATATTTGAGGAAATAACAGCACTTGTGTGATATTGCTATACTATATCATATGATATAAATATGACAAAAACCCATACAAGGCATTTTTCCCTCATATCTTGAATTTTATGGACATATAACTGCATTCTCATTGGCTACGTCAATGCAGTCATTCGTCGTCCTGTTGTCCGAATACAAGAAAGACATAAGATAACATATAGGTCTGGGCGGGACAGGCTGCCTTAATAATTTGATTGCATAATTTTTTTTTTCATAATAAACGTATCAAATTAACATGTTAAATCAACTACTCTAATTATATAACAGAGGACCAGAGCCCCCTACGGGGAAACCCTGTTGCCATATCCTGTGGTGAAAACACCTGTAGCGATACAACTGAGAATGACTTCTTAAACAGCAGGATGAGGTCTAACACCTTCCATGATGTTGCTAACTACCAGATGTAAATGTCATTGTAAAAATCTTCTATACAATTTGTTCTCCATTACACCTCAAAGAAGAGCAAGATTCTCTTCTTGAATGGTGCTGTTCCCCACACGGTGTGGACTTGATGACAGCATTCCAAGGACTGAAGCTGTTCGAAGGCAAACAGTCTATATAGATCATAGATAATTATGTATTATCAGGTGTTTCCTTTATTTTTTCCACCCTATTTATGTGTCAGTGGCATGAAAGTATTATGGTAGAAGATTAAAGTTTAAGGGAAACTATTGACTTTTCAGGCATGTGGAATGGCTATAGACTACAGCTTAAAGATTAGTCAATTTAATTTAAATTAAACTGGTAATGGTTCAAATGTAATATATTTTTTAGCAATTAGATATCTTATGTTTTGTTTGCAGTATGACTGCTTGGAATGCCTATTTCTAAGAGCTTTATTCTTAAATCAATGTGAGGAGATTGGCTAGAGACCTTTAAACACAGTCCTTTGGCATTTCAGGCCCAGAGGTATCAACCTGTACTGTACAGACTGGTGTGATTTAAATTTAAAGTTTAAACCTATAATCAAAATAAGATTAGAGGTATTGTAAATTAGACTTGTATGCAAATTTTGTGGATCAGGCAGTGTCAAAATGTTTTAAAAACAACAATACAGAAAGTACAAAAGAACAGCGCATATATATATATATATATATATACACACAAATATATACAACTTTTTGGATTGTTGTTTTTAAAACAGTAGTGTATATGGTTCTCAGATGCTAGATTTTGTTGGTAACTCATCAGACATCTAATAGTTTTATGTGTACCCACATTTAATAATTGTTTTGTGCAATTAATGTTAAATTGGCTGGTGTAAATAGCAGAGGGACAAAAACATCCATCAGTTATAGAAGATTAAAGGGGTCATATGATGCGATTTCAAATTTTTCTTTCTCTTTGGAGTGTTACAAGCTCTTGGTGCATAAAGAAGATCTGTAAAGTTACAAAGACTAAAGTCTCAAATCCAAAGAGATATTCTTTATAAAAGTTAAGAGTCAGCCACACCTACCTAAAACG